GCTCGACTGATCACTGAGATCGGGTAGCAGCAGCAATGAAAGGACACTGTGAGCCTCCCCAAATATGCCCTGCCAGATATGCCTCTGTCACCTTTCACAGCAGGACCTTCTGTGCCAGGCACTGGGCTGGTTCCGTGACTCCTGCCGCTGGAGGCACCGCCTGTGATTCTGAGTGATGTGGACCAACACATAAGGAGGGAGCAGGATGATGGCATTCTCTGAAGGCTACCGACCTATGGCTGTTTCTCGTACGAAGGGACCTGAACAACTTAAGTCAGCTCAGTTCTCACATTCTCTTCCCTGAGATGAAAGCTTTGGGGGAGGCTCCTTGAAAAGCCGACAGCCCGATGTCTGCCTCTGCCTGGCTTTGTTTGGAGATGGCTCGCTCCACTGTGGGCCCTGGGCAAGCCCCTCAGTGATTTCCCTTCCGAAAGAGAGACGGACACTGGGAAGGCCCAAATGCACTCTGCCTGGACTGATGAGAAACCTTTTTTTATACTGAGGCCATTGTCTCAGCCCTCCTCACAACAAAAATTCATTGAAAGCCTTGGATACCCCCCCACCCCACCAACATCATGAAAATTCTGAAACACACAGAAAACTTGAGAGAATTTTGCAATGAACACCCATCTATTTACCACTTAGACTCTGTCTACGATGAACATTTTGCTAGATTGGCTTTCCTTACAGAATATTCTTCTATCTCTCCAAGCCACTGATGCTTGAGGCTTTTTAAAAGCCTGGCCTAAAAATTCAATTCATCTGCTCTTAAAAACTTCAGAACAGGAAACTTTAACGCCTTGTTTCATGAACACAGAATAATTTAGTTCCATTCCAAATGAGGCTGCCTAGAAGGAAGAGAGAGAGGAGGGAGCGGAAAATGGAGAGGGGAAATACAGCTGTGGGAAGGCAAAGAGGAGGTGAGAGGAGAAAGGGGACGAGGGGGTGCGGGTGGGCAGACACAGGAAAGGTCTCGGGGTGGCAGATGAGCAGGGGCCAGGTCACTGGCATGACTCATGGCGAGCTGGGGTGTGCAGGTTGAGGACCCACTGGGCAGCTGTTTGTGTTAAGGATGCCGCCGGCCTCCCCCTGCTGCAGTGGGGACAGCTGCCTGCAGGCGTCCCAGGACAGTGCGGCTTGCATCATTGTTCCTCGAAGACTTGCTGGCCCGGGGGGCTCCAGCTCCACAGACAGCCGTAAAATGGAGCAGAGCCAGGATCTGGACAACCAGACACCGGCATTGAACCCCAGTTCTTTTGTTACTACCAACACGCAGGCCCTCGGGCAGCGATTGAACCTCTCTTAGCCACTGTGTTCTCATCTGGAAAATGGGCATATTAGGAATAGATGTCTCATGGGGTTGGTGACCAGGTGAACTCAGGTGAACGCATGTGTATAATACTGGCTGAAGCAGACTCAACACCAGCTGTATGCCAGGCTTTATCTCAGTGGCTTGCACGCTTTATCTCTCCCCATCCTTGTGATGGCTCTAGGAGGTGGACATTACTACGGGCCTCATTGTAGAAATGTGGAAACTGAAACTTGGGGACGGTCAAGTCCCTTCGGCAGGCGGTGCCGCTGGTAACGGTGGAGCCGGGCCGGGACCCCCTGGTTGCTGGGCTGCCCTCAGCACTGTGCCTGGTATAACCCTGTACAATGTGACGAAACAGGCCTGTCACAGAGGGTTCTCGCAAGGTCAAGGTGAGACAACCCATGTGAAAGTGCTAATACCCACTAGGTCCTTAAAAATGTTTGCTAAGGGGCGTCCCACTTCGGCTCAGGTCATTATCTCACGGTTCATGACGTGGAGCCCTGTATCGGGCTCACTGCTGTCAGCGCAGAGCCCCCTTCAGATCTTCTGTCCCCGTCACTTTCTCTGCCCCTCCGCCGCCCACACACACTCTCTCAAAAATAAACATTGAAAAATGTTTGCTGAGTGACTAACATTCATAGCATCTGTTGGTGAGCGCGACAAATACTTGTCATATTCTTCAGCTGTTTTCTCTAGTCATTCATTCTATAGAAGCTTCCCTCTGATAGGGGTAACCATGGTGGGAATCTCCCTAATCCTGTTTTGTACAAATGTCAGATTTAACAAATAAATTACAAGCGAGTTGATTTTCTTTGTGTTCTGACCTCATTTACATTAGAGAAACATTGAACCTGTTATATTTTTTGCCTGTGATCAAACACCAGGGAAGTGGATGATAAATGTCAGAATCTAGGGCAAGCCTACCCTTCTCCTGCCAGTTCCGACCTGGTATTGGACTTCTGTAGTGTGCCAAAGGCAGCCCAACACCCAGGGCCGTCCTGGAGAACAGAACTGGGAGCCTCTTGCCTTGCCTTGCCTTTGATAAGGCCTCTCCACGGACTGGTTGCTGTGGCATGCCTTCCCTGGTTGTTTTCCACCTTTTGTGATTGCCTTCACTTTCAAAACTTGTAAAATAATAACCCTATGAATTTATCTCTAAATGCAATGAAGAAGATACAGAGAATAAAGCGAGATCATATATGGAAAAGTGCTTTCAAACTTTTAAGAAAAATTTCTAGGCAAATGCAAGATTTTAAAAACCAGCTTAATAGCCAAAAGGTGGAAGTGACCCCAATGTCCATCAGCAGATAAGCGGATACACAAAATGTGTGATGTGTATACAATGGATTATTATTTGGCCTTGAAAATGAAGGAAATTCTGATACGTGCTACAACACAGATGAATTTTGAGGACACTATGCTAAGTGAAGTAAGTCTGAAAAGGACAAGTACCATAAGATTCCACTTCTATGAGGTACTAGAGTAGTTAAATAATGGATTCAGACTGTAGGATGGTGATTGCCAGGGACCGGAGGGAAAGAGGAATGGGGAGTTACCGTTTCATGACACAGAGTTTCGGTTTTGCGAGGTGCTCTGGAGATGGATGATGGTTGTCCTGAGCTGTACGCTTAAAAATGGTTAAGGTGGGGGGTGTGCCTGGGTGGCTCAGTGGGTTGAGTGTCTGACTCTTGATTTTGGCTCAGGTCATGATCGCAGGGTCATGGGATTGAGCCCTGCATTGAGCTCTGTACTGTACATGAAGCCTGCTTAAGATTCTGTCTCTCTCTCCCTCTGCCCCCCTCCTCCGCTTGTGCGTGCTTTCTCTCTAAAATGAAAATTAAGGGGCGCCTGGGTGGCGCAGTGGGTTAAGCGTCCGACTTCAGCCAGGTCACGATCTCGCGGTCCATGAGTTCGAGCCCTGCGTCGGGCTCTGGGCTGATGGCTCGGAGCCTGGAGCCTGTTTCTGATTCTGTGTCTCCCTCTCTCTCTGCCCCTCCCCCGTTCATGCTCTGTCTCTCTCTGTCCCAAAAATAAATAAAATAAAATAAAATAAAATAAAATGAAAATTAAAAAAAGGTTAAGTTTTATGCTGTGTATTTTTCCCCAAATAGGAATAATTAACTAATTAAAAACAAGTTCATTTTCTCTACGATCGTGTTTTTTGTCTCATTTTTGCCTTAGCCAGTTAAGAGGACGCTGTATTTTGTACTTTGAATAAGATCCAGGGACCAGAGCTAGGACGGAGGCACACTGTGACAAGGACAAAGTATAGGGTTTGGAGTCGAACTTAGGGCCTTGTGCCTTGCTTGGGGTCCAAAGGTGATTCCAGTGCCCCTTGACTGCCCTTCCCTGGAGTAAGAGGTCACAGTAGTTTTGGAGACTAAGTTAATGATGCCTAACTGAGGAGTCTTCAGACTGAAGGGGATTCAGAATGACAGGGGGCACCCAGGAGGGTTTGGGACCCCAGCACTCTCCTCTGTGAAACGATGGGCCCGACACCACATGGGAGTCTGCATCTTGTAATTTTTAACCAACTGTCAGCACCAACAAAGAAACAACTCAGCCCATAAACCTCTGCATTGAGAGAAGACCACATGAAGCCAGTCCCTCAATTCCAAGAGATCCGCGATGTTTTGAGGGAGAGCAGAAAATCCCAACTTAAGTGTTTATAATTCGCCCCTGTAGTTGTAAACACTCAACTGTGTTACCGTTCCTTCTCTCCCCCCACCTTCTCTCTCTCTTGTGTGTGTGTGTGTGTGTGTGTGTGTGTGTGTGGTGATGATTTAAATATATCAGTAATTTTTGTATCACAGAACATTACATCTCTTTTCAGCTTTTCATTTCCAGGATAAACTAATCCAGTTTTCTGTTTGGTTTTTTTTAAAGGCCAAGGCTTTTAGCATGTCATTATGACCAGTTGTAATTTCCATTCCTGTGTGGAAAAGAGTTCAAAGCTTTTCTGTGTCCTTCATTACCTCTTTCCCAGAGGTGAAATTTAACTTAATGTTACAGCAACAATTCTGCAGGTAATGCCCCACATGCTGACTTCCCCTCTGCACATTTACCGATGAGCCACAGCTGACAGATGACCCTCTTCAGCGCCGACTGCTGATAATGGTCACGTGTGGCATGGAAATGAGGGGAATCGTTGTCATCAGGTCCTGTCTGGCTCTATCCCTTCATAGCTATGTGACCTTGAGCCTCCCTCACCTGTACAATGGGAATAAAAGTGGGCTTCAGAACTGTAGAGAAGAGAAATTGAAATGAAATCTTTTTTTTTTTTTTAAGCTTTTAAAATTTATTTTGAGAGAGAGTGAGCAAGCAAGCAGGGGAGGGGCAGAGGGAGAGAGAGGGAGAGAGAGAATCCCAAGCAGGATCCACACTGTCAGCACAAAGCCCGATGTGGGGTTCGCACCTACAGACTGTGAGATGGTGACCTGAGCTGAAACCAAGAGTCAGACGCTTAACAGACTGAGCTACCTAGGCACCCCAAAATGACATCTTTAACTGTCGGCTCCCACCTCTTCTTCGTCCTGTTCTCCTTTTCCTTTATTCTCTTTGAAATGAGAATTTCTCTACTATCGGTCTCTCTGCTTTTTTCTTTCTCTTTCTCCTCCCTCTTTCTTTCTTTCTTTCTTACTCTTACCAATGGAAACAATGCAGAGACCACAATAAATACAGCACACTGTTCCTTCCTCCTCAACGACAAGGCATTTGTTTTATTTATTTATTTTTTTTACTGGCCACCTTTCCTGATTTCTGGTCACAAGCTGGCAGTTGGCAATTGGTCATTTGTCCGTTGTTGCACAGAGAGCTACATACATGGGCTATTATGACCAGCATCTGAATCTTTATTTTCAAGCTGAGTAAAATTTTCCAATTTCCTGCCATCTAGCCTACCGGCATCCCAGCAAACCTGTGGGTTTCCTTCATTAAGGAATTTTGCAGCAAAGTCCTTTCAATCCGCTGGGAGAATTTTGCTCACTATGGTTTTCACTGAACCTTGTCCTTTTCATTCCCTCATGAAGAGACCTTATTTCCAGCTCTGCCTCCAATTCTGTTTTCACATTGGACCAGCCCCCTTTTCTGTTAGCTTTTTCACTAGGAGGGCCTAGTACTTCACTCCACGTCAAACTGTTTCCTTCATTTCAGAAAGGAAAACAGATCTTTTGTTCAAAAGTTTCTTCAGTCTCTTCCTCAAGCTTTCCCCCTGCTTTGTACTTTGTACCGAATAGCAGCTGCACCTTCTGGAACAGTCCTGAACTGTCTTCTGCTACGCAATGCGGAGAATATACTTTCTCATAATCTGAAGTTGCTGGCAGAGCAGAAAGAAACAAAAAACAAAAGCTGCATTTCAGGAACTCCATTTAGTGAAATATACTTCCTTTTGGTAGTATGCCAGCTAATTTCTTCAGCAGGCAATGATATTTTGAAAGTAAATGACTGTGGGCGAGGGGAGGGAGTCAGTGAAGGGAATCAATATACCAAATCAAGTGATGTTGTCCATTCATTCATGAAACTGTAGAAAAGAGATAAATTCACTGGTAAATGCAATGTGTTACCGTAACAATTTTGTTGCATGTTTCTCATGTACAGGAGAATAAAAACAAACAAACAAACAAACAAACAAACAAACAAACAAACAGTGTTTGATGATAAAGGAATTGCTGTAGATTACAAATACCTTACAAAGTGTGTTAAAACAAATCTAATCTCTTACAAATGCACAAAATAGACCTTATATTGAAAATTTTAAAATTTTGTAATAATTAAAACCTTGAGATTATCTCTATGTTTCCATACTTGCTCTGGAAGGGTCTTTAAATCAATTTATTAAGGTTACAAGTAGATGCATATGAATTAAAAGGGCATTTTGCATTTCCCTATATAGTTTCAACAAAGAATTCCATCAATTATCTTGTTTTTTTTCTTCTTTCCAGATTAGCAATTTATGATATAAACAATAAGTGATATGCTTTAAAACACACAAATCAGCATTAAAACAATACCCAGAACTATTGATTTTCACTTTTATGTTAACTAACTTCTATCTGAGCACCAAAGTACATTATTTTCTATTGAACAAATATTTTTGAACACCCACTATGTGCCAGAATTGTGTATGCGCTATGGGAGAATACAAAGAAATATAAAGCAGTCTCTTCCCTTGAAGAGTATTCCACATTCAGGAAGACAAGACACCCATGAAATGACTTGAAAACAACTAAAGACTTCTTTATAAGAAATAAAATTGTTTATGTATCATGTAGTTTCAAAACATGACCAAAATCAATGTTCACATTTAAAAAATTCAAGAAGGTACAAGAGTATAGTGAAAAGTAACTTTCCCTTCTCCCCCTCACCCAGATCTTTCCTAAAGTCCATCTCTGTTAAGAGTTCCTTGTGTATACTTCCAGTGTTGGTATAAGCAGATACAAGCGTATGTAAGCTTATGTATAATCACATACATCTATTTACACAAATCTCGGCCCATATTTTAAAGAAGATTAATCTATGGGACGCCTGGGTAGCTCAGTCAGTTGAGCGTCTGACTTCCGCTCAGGTCATGATCTCGCCATTAATGAGTTCAAGCCTCGCATGGGGCTCTGTGCTGACAGCTCAGAGCCTGGAGCCTGCTTCAGATTCTGTGACTCCCTCCCTCTCTCTGCCCCTCCCCAACTCGCATTCTGTCAGTTTCTCTCTCTCTCAAAAATAAACATTAAAAAAAAATTTTTTTAAAAGATTAATCTAGAACAACTAGCCACTGTTTAGCAATCTCAGGATATGATCACATAGTAGGCACTCAATAATTATTTGGATGGCTAAATGAGAATGGCATTCCTCTTTGGTAGGACATTTCAATTTCTAACTATTTGAAATAATGGTGTGTGAAACATTTTTGTGATCCAACCCTTCCTTAGGTAGATTTTCAGAAGGCGAATTACTAGGTCAAGTCTTTTAGGTCTTACCAAATTGTGTTCCAATAGCTGTTTACCCCCATCAGGACCATCATGGTTATTTAATTTTTTTCCATCTTTGTTAATTTGGTAGATGAAAAGTGCAATCTCATCATTGCTTCAGTTTGCATTTCTTGGAATTAGTGAAGCTGGACATTTTCCCAAATGTTTGCCGGTCATTTCTATTACCTGTTTTTGAGAAATGTGTGGTAGGATCCTTTGCATATTTAACTATCGAGGTTTTTCTTACTGAAGGTTATGAGCTCTTTAAATATTAAAACTGTTAATTCTGTTCCTCATTATTAATAAATAGTTCCCCTCATCTACTGTTTGCCTTTTGAGTTTTGATTTAATTAGCTTATTTTTGGCCCAGAAGATATACATTTTTATCTGTTCACTGCTATCCATTGAGTCATTCATAATTCATTTCATTACCTTTGAGGCTAGAATAACCTACTTATTGCATCCTTTCAAGAACTGTGTAGAGACAGAAGGAAAGTCCACCTTACAGACAGAAGGAAAGTTCACCTTACAGTAATAATAGCCTGTCAATAGGGCAATTTTCTAAGGATTCATCTGTAGAGGTTGAGAATTCATTCTCTTTTTTTGGATCTGATATATGTGGATTTAAGAAAACATCTTAGACATCCTTTTTGGGATGGCACCTTATTGGTGCCATTTCCAGGTGGGAAGCGAATCATTTGAAGTTGTCGAGAGCTGTTATCTTTCTTCTCTCTTTCCCTACTACCCAGAGTGGAAAATTGCTAAAGATTGGGTTTCTAACTTCTCAATGTATTCATCTCAAATTCTTTATTCAGACAACTCAACCTGTTCTCTTGGCCACCATTAAGAATAAATCTGAATATATCAGTCAGAGTCCTTCCAAGAAATAGAATCAATAGGAATCATCATCATCATCATCATCATCACCATCATCATCATCATCTCTCTTTCTAGAGAGGCTTATTTTAAGGAATCGGCTCATGTGATTGGTTGGGGTGGTTAGCAAGTCTAAAATCCAGACAGGATTTCCATGTTACAGTCTTGAGGCAGAATTCCTTCTTTTCTAGGAAACCTCAGTTTTTGCTCTTAAGAGCTTCAACTGACTTGAAGAGGCATTATTGAGAGTAGTCTTTATTACTTAAGGTCAACTCACTGTAAATGCTAATTAAATCTACAAAAAACGTTCACAGCAACATCTGGACTAGTGTTTGATCAAACAACTGGGCGCCATAACCTGGCCAAGCTGACACATGAAATTAATCTTCACACTGAATCTTCCCACTGGGTGGATTTCTTTCTCAGATCGTGCTTCTGTGATCCCATAAGCTTGTTTGTGAGTATGTAGTCTCCTAGGTTTTATTAAATATATTATAAGATACTGATAGTTCATTTATGAATACAATGATTGTCAGAATGTTTCTATGGCTGGTTAACTGGCTGTACAAAAGTACTGCTCCAAAATTTGGATTGAAGGGAATCCCATTCTAGAAATTAGGAATACATTATATATAGCTTGGACAACATGGTCATTGGACAGTTTCAGATCTAGTAGGACATGTGATAAGAGGAACTGTTGAGTGCGCAGTTGTGTACCCATTGTCTGGGGTGTTATGGAGGCCTGGGCTAAAACATCAGCTCTGCACCTGCTTAATAGTCGAGACAACAAGGCAAGACCTGGGAAAGGGAGGCTGGAAGCATTAGTTGGCTGGGATGCCACCAGTTCAGAGGAAGAATATGGAGCCAGATGTGATAGCCTGTGATGGCAACCAGTCAGGTCCTGGGAGAGTGAGCGGCGGGAGCTCCTGCATCCTGGCAATGGGAATGGAATTATGTATGTAGCTGTTGCTGAGCTGGTAATGAAGAGGAGCCTATATATGAGGATCACAGTAGAGTGAGACAAAGGACTCTCTACCACCAGCACTGGTGCTGGGGCAAGGGGACAGTCCTGTTCACAGGGACTTGTGTGGATAGAAGAAGCAAAGCTGGGCCTGCTTCTCACTCAAGCTGTTCAATAGGATACGCCAGTCCTCAGTCTCTCGGAGACACACGGTCTTGGGATTAAACGGTCACAAACACCTCCTGAGAAATGAATCTGACATTCAGAGTGGGTAGGTCTCTCGCACAATGTCATGTAGATATCTGTTAAGATAAATGTCTTCATATGTGTTATTGGTTGAACTATGTCCATCCCCCCCTAAGTTCATATGTCAAAATCTTAACCTCTGGAATCTTAGAATGAGGCCATTTCATTGCAGATGTCATTAGTTAAGATGAGGTCCTACTGGAGTAGGGTGGGCCACTAATCCAATATGACTGGTGTGCTTATAAAAAGCGGATAGGATGCCTGGGTGGCTCAGTCGGTTAAGCATCCCACTCTTGGTTTCGGCTCAGGTCATGATCTCATGGTTCATGACTTTGGGCCCTGCATCGGGCTCTGTGCTGACAGCGAGGAGCCTGCTTGGGATTCTCACTCCCTTTCTCCCTCCTCCTCCCCCACTCATGCTCTCTCAAGGTAAATAAACTTTAAAAAAAAGGGGAGGGGATCTAGGACACAGACATTGCACACAGGGAGAATGCCATCTGAAGGTGATGTAGAGATTGGAGTGATGCTTCTAGAAGCCAAGAAACAACAAAGATGCCAGCAACCACCAGAGGCTAGTGGAGAGGTGTGGAACAGATTTTTCTAATAATCTTCCAAAGGAACCAACCTCCACCAACACTTTTTTTTTTTTTAAGTTTACTTATTTTGAGAGAGCGTGAGAGGGGCAGAGAGAGACAGAGAGAGAAAATCCCAAGCAGGTTCCACATAGCACAGAGCCTGATGAGGGGATGGATCCCATGAACTGGGTGTGAGATCATCACCTGAGCCAAAACTGACTAAGCAAGCCACCCAGGTGCCCTGAGAAGTTCTTATAATTTAACAAAAATGGTGGCATGAAAATTCAGACTCTGAATATATATCTATCCTATAAAGAGACCAAAAGATTTCTCAATAAGATAATTTAAAGGTGTACATAACTTTCCATTTATCCATTCACCAAGTAAAGATGTTTAAAATGCCCACAAAACTTTGAGAATCACCGAGTTAGAATCACAATACAGGATTATTCAGAAGTTTCAGAGACTTTCTTTGTAAGGGGAGCAGGAAACCAACATTCAAGTTTCTGAACAACCCATCCTAAGACTAAATTATATTTGTTTGGTCTTTATTTTCATGAGCATTTTTTCAATAACAGTTATTTAAAAAGTTATTTTTTATGTTCTATTTTTATTTTTGAGAGAGAGACAGAGTGCGGGGGGGGGGGGGGGGGGGGGGCGGCGGGGGGTAGAGAGAGAGGGAGACACAGAAACCGAAGCGGCTCCAGGCTCTGAGTTGTCAGCACACAGCCCCATGAGGGGCTTGAACTCACAAACCATGAGATCATGACTTGAGCTGAAGTTGGACCATCAACTGACTAAGCCACCCATGTGCCCTGCAATAATAGCTATTTTAAAACTTACACTGAAATTTCATTTGAATGAGCTGAAATTTTTTTTTATTGAAGTGTAGTTGACATATTTTATTATATTGGTTTCAGATGAACAACATGGTGATTCAAGATTTATATACATTACGAAGTGATCACTGCAGTAAATCTAGCTACCATGTGTTATCATACTAAGTTGTTATGTATTATTGACTATATTCCTCTATGCTGTACATTATATCCCGGTATCTTATTTATTTTATAACTGGAAGTCTATACCTTTTGATCCCCTGCCCTTATTTTGCCCATCCCCCAATTCCCTCTCACCTCTGGCAACCACCATATTGTTTTCTGCATCCATGAGCCTATCTCTGTTTTGTTTCATGTATAAGTAAATCAGATGGTATTTGTCTTTCTCTGACTTTTTTCACTTTAGATCCATCCAAATTGTCACAAATAGCAAAATCATTCTTTTTTTCGACTAATATTCCATTGTGTATACATACACACACACACACACACACACACACACACACACACACACACACCATATTTTCATTCATTGATGGACACTTAGTTTGTTTCCGTATCTTAACTATTGTAAATAATGTTGCAATGAACATGGGTATGTACACATCTTTTCAAAGTGATATTTTCATTTACTTAGGGTAAATACCTAGAAGTAGGATTGCTAGGTCATATTGTAGTCCTATTTTTCAGTTTTTGAGGAACTTCCATACTGTTTTCCACAGTGGCTGCAGTGTTTTACATTCCCAACTGTGCACAAAGATTCACTTTTCTACACATACCCACCAACACTTGTAATTTTTTGTCTTTTTGATAATAGCCATTCTAAGATGTGTGAGGTGATACCACTTTGTGGTTTTGATTTGTGGAGAAGTTCATTTTAGTTAAGCTTATTTTTTTAAAACACACTGGAATTTGTTTTTACAGATTGAAGGAGTAAGTGTCTTTCCATATGTTCATCAACAGCAATTACCCAAGAAGAGCCTTGTTCCCTAGATCTCTGGATAGAGAGACATTTAATGTTTTCTATCACCCCACAGAATAATATGAAAGACACAACACTGATGCAAATACAAACACAAAATTAAAGGGAAGAGTTTCTTGGTGAAATCTATTGATGGAAAAGTTAAAGTTTCAAAGTAAAATTTGAAGTTATGTTTTTTTCTGCTTTTTTTTTTTTTTTTTTTGCTTTTGGTTTTGTTTTGTTTTTGTCTTTGTCTTTGAAACAGCACATGGTCATAAGTAGTCAATCACAGTCATAATGCTCAAGTCAAAGGTAATTTGAACCATTCAAGGCTACCTTGGAAGTTTTGGCCTATTCTGTCATCCTGTAAAATCCAAGGAAGGACTTTTGGTTTGAGCACTGTTTAGGGACCAGAAATGAGAAGTCACTTCAGTTTGGTTATTTACTTTTCCATCTGAAAATGGAATACATTACTGACAATCTGACAGAAAGAAAAGGAGGGGAAATATTTGTAGAGTATTTCAAAGTTAATGCATACCTTTTAAATTTAATATATTTTTTAAGTAATTCTTTTTTTAAATGTTTATTTATTTTTGAGAGAGAGAGAGAAAGAGAGAAAGCACGAGTGGTAGAGGAGCAGAGAGAGAGGGAGACACAGAATCCAAAGCAGGCTCCAGGCTCCGAGCTGTCAGCATAGAGCCCCATGCTGGACTCTAACTCACGGACCACGAGATCATGACCTGAGCAGAAGTTGGACGCTTAACTGACTGAGCCACCCAGGAGCCCCTAAACTTATTATCTAATTAGATAAGCTACATGTTGTTTTAGTGCACTTTTCATAAAAATAATTCTATTGCAAATATTTTCTTCATAGACTAATTGCATTTTGAGCTCAAGATAATCTTAGTTGTAGTCACTAAAGATGATGGCTCACATGAAAATATTTAGATGATGAGAAAAACTCCACCAAATTTATTTATGTTACATGCCTGAAAAGGAATGGCCATTGAATAATATGTTTTGATATTCAAAAGCACCCAAATTCCCTGGAAAGTTAGGAAACTGAGAAAATAAAAGGAAATTATGTAAAAGATGGTTGCAGGCAACATTCAGGAGACTGACCAGGTTTTTCACCAATCATCCTAGTACTGTGCCCAGAAAAAAGTCAGCCGACAGAGTTACTAAAGCAGCATGATCTTAAGATTTCCTTGTCTTGTGGGTCCCCAAGACCTTTCTCAACTTCAATAACTTGCTAGGAGGACTCGTAGAACCCAGTATAAATGGTACCAAACAAAATCAGCAAAGAGAAAAGCCTCTCAAGTTGGCTCAGACCCCACTTCACCAACAGTGCCTCTATCATAGATAGAAATCATTTCTGCTGGGGTTTGTTTTGTTTTGTTTCCACCCTCTTGTGTTGACTTGGCCCCATCTCTTTCAAGGCTAAACGCAGAAACATCACCTCTGTTCCACCACCCACGTCTCTCCTTCCCTCTGTCTCCTCCCCCAGTAACATTAGCTGAGTCTCAGGGCATGTAAGACACAGCAGGCACTGTTCTAAGGACTTTATGTATTTACTCTACTAATCCTCACAGCCGCCCAATAAGTTGGGTGTTATTACCTCCATTTTACACAAGAGAAAATGGAGGCACAGAAGGTTAAGCAACCTCTCAAGGTCTTGCAGCCTCCATTCAAAGGCGCACAGTCTGGCTCCAGATCCAAGTTCTCAGCTCCTGTGTTGACACTGCCTCTCAGAATAACTTACCCTGGGGCACAAGGCAGGCCCCCGTGGCCCTACCGGACCCACAGAAACACGGGAACACTAGAGAATCAAAGCCAATCCTCTGCTAACTGAAACCCTCTCCTTACAGGCTTTTCCAAATCTCCTGAATAGCCTTGATTCATGTTCTCAACAGTGACTAAACGAACCACAAAATCCTGTGCCTCATGAACTCTTAAAAAGCAGAGACAACAATGTGAATGTATGTTTTAAAATGATTAAAGGTGGTAAATCTTACCTTATATGTAGCTTACCACAATTTGTACAAAGCAGATATAATTTCGGGCAAAGGACTTTTGGCATGTCTGTGCATTTTAGTGTGTCACAGATACCCCTTCTTCGTGCATCTAAGTAATCTTTGGGGGAAAGATGCTCTACTTTTGTTTGCTTGACTCTCTGGGCTGATCCTGCGAGCTCCCAGATCAAGCTGTGTTTGCTAATCCCTGCTCAAAGTGCAAGCCTGAAGATAAGCCAGTGCTAATTATTATCCCTTTCTGTGTATGTAACACAATGCTGCTTTAAAAGTGTTCTTTTCCTACATTAACTCCTCAGACTTTCATAGTTAACTGTCCTGCAAAGAAACCGCAGCAGATATAATCATCTATATTGTATGGCAGAGGAAGTTGTGAGGGCGATGCCCTGGGAAACCCAGGTCTTGAAGCTTGTAAATGGCAGAGGTGAGGTCAGAGCCTGGAGCCAGCTTCGGATTCTGTGTCTGCCTCTCTCTCTCTGCCCCTCCCCCGCTCACACTCTGTTTCTCTCTCTCTCTCTCTCTCTCTCTCTTTCTCTCTCTCTCTCTCTCAAAAATAAATCAACATTAAAACAAATTTAAGAAAAAGAAAAAGAGAAAGAAGCAAAGACTTTTCAGTAACCAGAGTCCCTTTTCTCAAATTCTAGAATTCCAAGAGGGCTGAGATTAGGGTGACACAAGTGAGGCACTTGCCTTGGGCACAAAATGTAAGAGGCACTAAATCAAGACAAAGAATGTTTTAAGGTAGTATCTTTAAAAGTTTAAAATTAATATTCAAATATCCCTGCTGAACAAAATATCAAAATTTTAAATGAAGGCCAGCTGCTTGCTTATTTCACAACCCTGCATTTTTGGGCAACGGGAATGGTTGTTTCCTATTAGCTTCAGGTTCCCAGACACCTGGGGCCGTCTCCTCCTTGTCCGGTGTATTTGTGAGGGTTGCCAAGGGTGTGCAGACAGACTGAGTGATGCAGGATTCTCTATGGAGTCATGATTTTTTTTTTTTTTTTTTAGTTGTAGAGGAAGTTCAGAACTGGGCTGGGGTCAGATGACCAGAGAATGGCTAAGTTCAGGTTGGATCCCAAAGTTCATGGTGCCATGGCCCCTGTGCTTTGCTTGCTGCTATGTTGCCTCTATCCACTCTGTCTTCCTAGTGCCTATACCTAGCAAGGAGAAAACACACGTAAAGGAATCACTCTCCTGCACACTGGAAATTAAAAGAGCCTAAATAAAGTCCAAAGGAGTGCTCGGGATGGAGGTATTTCTGGTTGGCCAGTCATGGGCTATTGCATAACATGACAGCAATTCCAGTGATTGTATCAGAGAGCTGGGGGCAAGATCTATTTTTCACTACCCACACACAGGGTGTGCCCTACTTTTAAGGAGCTCTGATAAGTGGAAACCTATATTTACATTAAAAGTACATTAAGTTGTGATGATTTACTTTGGCTAAATCATGATGAAGCCCATCCGATATCAAGTTCTCCAAATCTATTAAATGGAATTTGATTTATGGTTGGTGGGTATTTTGATGACCTGTTGGGTAATTTTATTGTAGCAAATCTTCAATCAGCTGTTATTTGAGCATCTACAGTTGTGCAGTGGTAAACAAAATAAAGTCTGAGTCAAGGTCTCTACCTCCGGTAAAGCCACGTGGAGTCTACTTAGGGAGATATGAGCCGTATACCCAAATAGACAAATATTAACTTATGATAAGGGCTACCTGAATACTGAATAGCATAGCCATTAACTCATAGAAATTCCAAGGAGGAAAAGCAATCACTTTGGAAGAGAGAAAACAGAACGGTTTGGCATGAACTGATTCTGTAGGATGGGTACCTAGTTGGAAATGTGAGCAGTGCAGATTTGAGGTCTACGGGGAGGGCTGTGCAAAGGTAAGGGGCCGTCAGGTGCCAGACAAGATCACGTGAGAGTGATACCATCAGTCCTGCCGAATAGCAGCTGTATCAAGCTGGCAGAACACCAATCTTAGACCTGAAAGTGGTCTCCTCTCTCACAGGACAGCTGTAAATGGATGAGATGTTCCAGGGAACTGATCAAGACCAGCTCCTGGGGGCTGTCTTCATGAGAAGAGCCAGGGGAGAGCAGGAAGGCAACCGAGAAGGTGATTGAGAAGAAATGGTAAAGCAGTCAGAAGAAAGCAAAGAGTGTGCAAAGTCAGAAAGGGCCAGGCCCCAAGAGCTATAGGAGGTGAGTGGTCAGTGTGAGGTGCAGGAGAAAGGCCAAGAAACGTTTGAGACTGTGGGTCATAGTTTTATGGAAGGGGTTTCCTGGTGGCATGGCTTCCCGAGGACTGTACTGGTCTGTGTGACATGAACATGCCCTTGATCCTGCAACCTTTTTGTTTGTTTGTGCCTTCGGCTAAGGGAGAAGAGATTGGCTTATTGTGCACATGTAACATTCAGCCACAACTGAGAACAGAGTTAACCCAGGATGTCACAGGTCCAAGGCAAAGGACCAAAGAGGACTGTTTAGGTATGAACAAGGAGAGTCTCTCAAAGATGGTTACTGTGATCAGATGGCAATGGATGTTCTAGATCCATTAGACAGGTTCTAGACAGTAGGCATGGTGTCCAACATTTGGCATCAGCATCCCTAACCTATGGCTTTCTTTGTTTCTGCTCCTGGAGTTTCCACGGGTGCACAAGCTAGTGGCTTATGTGGACCTCTGCTTCGTCTCTCTTCTTTTTCACTTTAGGCTGCACATTGGCTCTCATGGTGTGGAGGTTTCTAAGAAGATGGCCTTAAGGCCAAGAGCTTCAAGCCAACTGTGTTAGTCTAATTCATTTTAGTGGTGTGTTCCTTACAATAAAATGTGGAATATCTTTGGAAGGACACTAAAATCTGGGATGTCTTTAGAAGGAGTTAGGAAAATAGTTACATAAACTGCTTTCCCAGAGGGGTACTGGGTAAATGGGAACAGAGATGGGGAGTTTTCATTGTGTACCCTTTTGTACTCTTTGAATTTTGAACCAGGTGTTAACTGTTAAAAAAACTCAGGGGCACCTGGGTGGCTCAGTCGGTTGAGCATCCGACTTCAGCTCAGGTCATGATCTCACTGCTTGGCGGGTGAGTTCGAACTCCACATCTGGCTTGCTGCTGTCAAGGCAGAGCCTGTTTTGGATCCTCTGTCCCTCTCTCTCTCTCTCTCTCTCTGCCCCTCCCCCATGCATGTTCTCTTGCTCTCTCTCTGTCTCTCTCAGTCTCTTTCTCTCAAAAATGAATAAACATTAAAAAAACCTAAAAATTAAAAAAAATCAAAGACTAGAACATGTGTGCCAGGAAAAAAAAAAAAGGAATAAAATAAGAACAAACGTTTTAAGATTAAAATCTTCACAGGATGCTCCATCAAAAATAAGCAAACAGGCAAACTCTTCTGCCATTTAAAGAAGTGGCCTTGTTAAGGTATAGCTGACACATGGTAGCTTGCACATGTTGAAAGTGTACAATTTGGGAAGTTTCGACATGCATTTCCTTCTGTGAAACAATCAGCATAATAAAGATAATGAACCTATTCACTACCTTTGGAAGTTTTCTCATATCCTTTGAAATCCCTGCCTCCTACCTTTCCCCACCTTGTCTCCCATCCCCAGGCCACCAAAGCACTGATCTGCTTGCTATTGGTTTGAATTTTCTCAATGTTTATATAAATGGAATTATATAGTATGTACTTTTGTGTCAGGCTTCTTTTACTCAAGCAAAGTTATTATTATTTTAGAGATTTTATTTTTAAGTAATCTCTGCACTCGATGTGGAGGTTGAACCCACAATCCCAAGATCAAGAGTCGCGCGCTCTACCCACTGAGCCAGTCAGGCGCCCCAGTCAAACTAACTTAGGTTTGAGATTCATCCATGTTGCATGTATCAGTAGTTCATTTATTAAAAGTCGTTGAGTAGTATTTCATTTCACAGATACACCATTTGAGCAAATAAGAGTAGGGGTCATATGCTAAGTATGTTTAACTGTAAAAGAAACCTTTTTTGAAGTGCTGGTACCATTTTGCATTTTCGCCAACAAAATGGGAAGGAGAGTTACACTTGGCCCACATCCTCACCCCCTGACAGGACTTCTCAACTTTCTACTACGTGCATAGTAGTATCTCATTTTTAAAAATTTTTTTAAATTAATTATTGTGTTTTTTTTTTTTTTTTTGAGAGAGAGAGAGAGAGAGAGAGAGAGCGAGCAGGGGAAGGGGCAGACAGAGAAGGAGACACAGAATCTGAAGCAGGCTCCAGGCTCTGAGCTGTCAGCACAGAGCCCAATGTGGGGCTCGAACCCACGAACAGTGAGATCATGGCCTGAGCCAAAGTTGGACGCTTAACTGACTGAGCCACCCAGCGCCCCATCTCATTTTGGTTTTAATTAGGATTTCCTTAATAACTAAGGATACTGAAGATCTTTTCATGTGTTGTTTTTAAATGTTTATTTATTTTTGAGAGAGAGAGAGAGACAGAGAGAGAGAGAGAGGGAGAGAGAGAGAGGAAGACAGTGGGGGAGGGGCAGAGACAGAGGGGGACAGAGGATCTGAATTTTCATGAACTGGGAGATCATGACTTGTGCTGAAGTCGGACACTCAGGTGACTGAGCCACCCAGGGGCCCCAGATCTTTTCAATTGCTTATTAAACCGTCTGTATATCCTCCTTGGTGAATGGTCTCTTCAAATATTTTGCCCAGGGGTGCCTGAGTGGCTCAGTTGATTAAGTGTTGGACTTTGACTCAGGTCATGATCTCACAGTTCATAGGTTTGAGCCCCACCTCAGGCTCTGTGCTGACAGCTTGGAGCCTGGTGCCTGCTTCAGATTCTGTGTCTCCCTCTCTCTCTGCCACTTCCCTGCTTATACTGTCTCTCTCTCTCTCTCTCTCAAAAATGAATAAATATTAAAAAAACAAATATTTTGCCATTTACAAATATTTGTTTGTGATTACTGAATATTGAGAGTTCTTTATTCTGAATAAAAGACTTATTGCATATATATTGACAAATATTTTGTCCCCATCTGTTGCATGTCTTTTCATTTTCTTAGTATTTTGAAAGAAATTCAAGACTTTTTAATGTTTATGAAGTCAAGCTGGTGTGGTAGCCAGCCTTCAAGATGGCCCCAGTGACACTCCCCGAGTCTGGTATTCCTGCTCTCCTCTGGT